TGGTATGAGGTCCCCAACTCTCTGCTTGCTTCCCTTTCCTTTTATCTCTCAAGAGAGGCCACACCCCAGGGAAACTCCCTTTACATTGGATGTGACCTGGGTAAAGGTGGTGTTACAATCCCACCCTAATCCTCTTTAACATAAAATTACAATCACAAAATGGAGGCCAACCACACAATTCTGGGAATCATGGCCCAGCCAAATTGATATACACATTTTCTGGGGGACATAATTCAAACCATGACATTCCTCATGCTCCTTCTTAGTCGTCACCCAACTCAGAGGCAATATCCCTGTTCTAAATTTTTTCTACCAAGGATTAGTTTTGTCCAGGCCTTTTTAAAGAAGTCATGGAATTTGTTATTTTGAAGAAATCTTTTTGGGTTTGGTGGCCCATCTAACCTGGTAAGTGTTGCCCTGTACACATATTGTAGCTCTAAATCTTTTAGTCTGCAAAATGCAAGGTAAGTGGAGAGAGAGTGGCCAGGCATTCATGACCTCTCCTTTATACTCCCGTTATGAACATCCATTTCTAACTTCCATGTTTAGATGCTAGTCAGTGATTTTACCTGACATTTTTTAGACACTAGGTAAGGGTATAGGGATGAATTGGTATGCAACTTAACAACACAGTTATGTGCTGCAAATTGATGTGAACACCACTGAGTATTTGTTCCTCTAATTACCCATGCTCTGCTGGTTCTAATTGCTTTTTTCTCCAGACTAGCCATGACAGACAGCAATCATTTTCTCTGTACTGTAGACTCAGATAAACTCAGATACTTTTCCACATTATAACCGTGTCATTTCCTCTTGATAACTGGTAGGTCCTCAGTCTATACAATTTACTTGAATTGCCCACTGCATGAAGAATATAATAACAATCAACAGAGACAATATAAGGTATGATTTGTCATGAAGTTTGTATTCAACAGAACTGATAAGAATATACTCAAATGTAAATGACATACAAACCAACATCTATGTAATTCAATTCAGTTGTAACAAAACTACGTAGACTCCAGGTACTTTGGATTAGAGGCTCAAAATGGGATTATTACTAGAGAGAGGCATGATTAAGGTTGTATAGGCAGCTTCCAGCCCTTTACACCATTAGTTGGTTTTAGGTAGATGAGTTTCTTAACACCAAATTGCTGCCGTCAGGCTCTTTGATTCCAATAACACTGATAATAATAGTTACCATTTATTTTGTACCTGTGACCTGCTGGGCATTGTGCTATATGCTTTGCATTCATTCTCATTTAATCTTGGTAACAATCCTATGAGGTCAGTAGTATAATCTCCATTTTTATCGGTGAAGAAATAAGGGCTCAGAGAAGATAAAACGTGCCTGAACCTAACCAATCTGGGATTTGAATTCACGTCATTCTTTCAAAATCCACTCTCCTTCCTATTGTCTTCACTATTTCCAGCGTCCAAGATACTGAAAAAGCCTTGTTTCTTCCCATGAAGACTCCATGGAATGGATCCCATCAGAAGGGATCTGTCTCACTCTCTCAGGTGAAAGTCATAGACTGCAGTGCTGCGTCAGAGCAGTGGTGCTGGGTTAAGGAAAGTGGAGTCCACGTTTTAAACTCCAAACTGAACAGTTCTGCTCTGACCATATGGGATCACCGTGAGTTGGAGCTGGCTCCATGGCAACTGGTTTTGTTTTGTTTTACATATTTATTTAAGCTGGAAGTTATACCGGCAAAGTTTTATGTCATTCTTTACCTCTAGTACTCCCTTTCTCCATGGACTAAGACTCCCTCTTGTGGTAGAAGAATATCTCCTCTGGGCACAGACTGTGGAACTGTTCGTTTCTCAAGAGGGAAAAATCATAAATTTTAGTGAGATGTGATGTGCCCTAAATGTCAGGTCCCTGAGTGAATTATTATCTAAGATTTTATTTTGTGGATGTGGGGATTGAAGCTCACTAGGCTTGGAACAAAGAAAAAATTCAATCCTGAAAAACAAAACTAATCCATTTTTTGCCATATAAAATCTAAGAAAAGAGAAAGGAATGTTACTCTGCTGATCTCTAGTCAATTGAAAATCACACAGGCTCTTTTCTTCCAGTATTATCCTCAATATAATACAAATTCTTTTGTCCTGCCTTTCAACTTGAAATAAATAGTGAATTTCAGAGTACTTACTTCTATTGCTATGGCATATCAGGAGAACAGGTTATTTTCTAACAATGAAACCATTTTTGTCATCTTGCCAATTTACACAGTGTTTTAGAGACAGAATCCTCACCATGGTTCTGCATGGCTGTCTTCAGCTGACAGAAGAGGGAATGTTGTAGGCAGAACAATGACCTCCAAAGATGTGCACATCCTAATCCCTGAAACCTATGAATATGTTACCTTACATTGTAAAGGGGACTTTGCAGATGTGATTAAGTTAAGGATTTTGAGATGAGGAGACTGAGATGGAGTATCTTGGTGGGCCCAGTGTAATCACACAAAAGAAACCCAAAAACCAAACCCATTGCCGTGAAGTCTATTCTGACTCCTAGCAACCCTATAGGACAGAGTAGAACTGCCCCATAGGGTTTCCAAGGAGGGTCTGGTAGATTTGAACTGCCAACCTTTGGTTAGCAGCCGAATGCTAACCACTGTGCCACCAGGATCCCTCATTATAAAAGGAAGGCAGGAGACTAAGAGTGAGAACAAGTGATGTGATGATGGCAGCAGAAAGAGAGAGAGATTATAAGATGCAATGCTTCTAACTTTGAAGATGAAAGATGGGACCACAAGCCAAGAAATGCAAGCGATCTCTAGAAGTTGGAAAAGGCAAGAAAACAGATTCTCCGCTACAGCCTCCAGAAGGTAGGGTGACCAACAGTCTTGGTTTGCTAGGGACTGAAGGATTTCCCTGGACATGGGGCTGTCAGTGTTAAAACCAGGACAGGCCTCAACAAACTGGGACAGTTGATCACCCTAGTCTATTGTATCCTTACGGTAGAAATGCTATATAATGGTACTGCTGACATTTCTTCCCAAGTGACATCACATTAGTAACTTGAAATTAGCCATAGTGGGAGTATTTACACCATGGAAATCAGCAAATGCTACAGATCAGGGCTTGATTTATTGTTTGTTGACTGTCTGGCATTAAGAAGGTGATAGAGAAAATGTTAATAATGCAGATTGAACTTAACAGTGTGTTGTGTCTGTAGCCATTACGTTGTGTACAGCACCAAAAAATGGGAAATACTCTATTCTTCAGTATTTGAAAGCTGTTACCTGATTCCGCAAAGAAGTCACTCACGTCTTTGACAGACAAGTGAAGTTCTGAAATATGTCTCTGTTGGTGTTTCACTATTACTCATACCCCTATCATTATATGGAATATTTTTATCAACCCCTAAAGTTCCCTGTGCCCCTTCCAGTCAGCCTCCTGCCCCAAAGCAATCACTGATACGATTTCCATCATCCTAGATTTGCGTGTTCTAGAACTTTCTATAAATGAAATATTATTATATATTCTTGTGTCTGGCTTCTTTTATTCAGCATAATGTGCTTTAAATTCATCTATGTTGTTGAATATGTCAGTAGTTCGGTCCTTTTTATTGCTGAATAACATTCCATTGTATAACTATACCATGGTTTGTTTATCCATTTTCCTGTTGATGGACACACAGGCTGTTTCTAGTTTTGGCTAATATAAATAAAGCTGATATGAACATTTTTTGTACAAGACTTTTTGTGGATATATGTTTTTGTTTCTCTTAGATAAAATCTAGGAGTGGAGTTGCAGGCTCATAGAGTAGATGTCTGTTTAACTTTTAAGCAACTAAATTTTCCAACATTAGTACCTGCCCTTTTAATCACTATGCTATGCTCTCCATATTTCATAGGTTTGTTGTGAGGAATAAATAATACATGTAAAATACTCAGTATAGTGCTTAGCACAAGTAAGTGCTTGACTTATTAGCTGTTATTATTTACTGTTTCTAGCTGATGACTTACAAATCTCTTGCTCTTGAGCACTAGGCCTATATATCCAGCTGCCACTTACATAACAACTGAACTTAGCTGTCCCAGTTGGGCCAAACTGAACTCATCTCCTCAACCTCACTCCATTCCAAACCTGGTCCTCCTCTCATGTACCACCTTATGGGGAATCCTCTCAGTTGCCCTAGCCTCTCTCCTCCTTGCACATCCAACAGGTCATCCAGTCGTTCAAAGCTACTGCCTTAACAGCTCTTGCATGTGTTAATTTCTCTCCATTCCCCACTGTTGCTACCTTAGTTCTGACCCTCAGTATCTGTCCCCTGGGTTGCTGTAACAGTCTTCTAAAAGGCCCATGCCACGAGGATTGCCACCCCCAATTCATTGTCTACACTGCAGCCAGAGGAGTCTGTCCCTAATACAAACCTGATCCTGTCATGCTCCAATTGGAACCCTTCATGGCTTCCCAGGATAAAGCCTCAATCCCTTCTATTCCTTTCAAAGCCATCCACGCTTCAGCCTCATCTTTTACTTCCTATCTCATAAGCTTGGCTCTCACTCTCTAGACTTCTTCCCATTCCTGGTCTTGCTTAGAGGTCTTTGTCTGTGCTGCTTGTTTTACGCAGTGTTATACCCTCCCCTGTCTCATCCTACTCCACCCCTTTACTGGACTTTACTGCCATCAGAATTCAGCCAAGAAAATCCTAAATTCTAGGAGGTGTTCTCTAACTTTAGGCTTCCTCCCCCTCAGTTGGGGTAAGTGCCCCTTCCATGTGCCCTGGCACCCTTTACTGACCCTTAGTGTGGCTCTCGTGACCCTTTACTGCCTGATACCCACACAGCTCCCACCCTAGACTATGAGTTCTCAGCTGCATCCCCAGCTAGAACTTAAGTGTTTGAGAAACTAAATGATTGTGTTGGCAATACTAGAGAATGTACTTAATTTGCTGCTGGACCCACTGGGGATTGATCACTAGGGAGTGCAGCCAACAGCATTTGGAATTGCTGGGTTCTTACCCATTTGTCTTGTCATCCTCACAGCCAGATGAAAATTCACTGGATTTTTCCTCCTGTATGCTCCGTCCTGGGATTAAAAATGCTCAGGAACTTGCTTGTGGGGTGTGCCTCTTAAACGTGGACTCCAGGAGCCGGGTAAGTCACGTGCCTGCACCATGCAGGCGGCAAAGCGTCCTTTAAAATGACGTAGGAGATAACCTCATCTAGGCCACTTCACTGCAAGGTCTGTGACCAGAGGTGGGATTTGATAAAGCCCAGAGGAGAGCTGACCATAGAAGCAGTTAGTTCTTTGAGAAGGGCAGTGGGGAAGCTGCTGAGGGAAACTGTGCTATTCTCCCGTTTCTAATGAGCATGCTGTTTGCATTGTGCCTGAGCATACTGTGTACAGTGGGGCTGGAAGAAAATGTTCAACCTGTAAGGGTTGGTTTGGAGACAAGAGACTCTGTTCTGGGAATTTTGTTGACCTTATGGTTTAACGTTATTTCAGAAAGAAGAGAAGCCTGCAGAAGAACATCCTAAAAAAGTATGAACCAGTTACACATTATCTTAGCGTCTCCATCTTAATTTTGAGTGTGGAAGGCAAGTCGGATTATTCCGCTGCCGTTCTGAACCATTCCAATCATAAATCCTTTACTGAGTCATTCTTGTTCCCATAATGTTTGATTTAATCAACTAACATGTCTGTGTGGATCCACTTCTGTCTTGTTTGCATGTTTGTATCTCACAACTGACTTCTGGTGTTGCTGTTATTTTTCTCTACAAGGAACAGGGTAACAGAATGAGCAACTTCTGGAAGACTGAAGTTGTATAGTGGCACACAGAATGAGATCAGATAGCTAGACTGCTTCAAGATTTGGCCGTCAGCAGACAAAAACAAATTCTTTAGGTTTTAGTTTTATTTATTTGTTTATTTATAGTGCTTTAGAAAACTAACCCCAGGAAGTGGCTGAGGTCTGGGCCACTCGTCCCAGGCTCACTGCAGCTTACCTATAAGCATTACTCATCTGGAGCTAATATGTGTTTAATGTTCTTTTATTTTTTATAAACTCAGTACCTTTTGAACTCTTTAATTGTGTCATATAAGTTAACAGCTCCCACTGGCATCAGACCCTAAGAGTTTTTATCTGTTGCTTTCTAATTCTCTTACAGTTTTTCTTTGATGATAGGACTATAATCGACTGCAGAAATTTGAATGAATGAAAGATATTTAAGGGATTACATGCTCTAATTCCTTGGGGAAGGGCTTCCTTCAGCACAAGGAGGGATAAAATGACCGGCAGCCCTCAGCTATTTTAGTTCCCCATGTCGTGAAACCCCCCCTCCCATAGCCTCTGTCTGCCTTTTCTGTGAAAGACTTGACCTTCTTTTGCTGAAACTAGGTTTAACAGTACAGATTTTTATACCTTTAATTAGCAGCAAAACATTTTCTCACTTGAATTCCTATAGCCACCTGCTCAGCTTGTGTGTGTGTGCCATTTTGGCCTCAGACTCTGGAGAGGGGTACGTGTTGATTGCTGATCAGCACTTCGATGCAGAAGTCTGACTTGCCCCACATCTCTGTTTATTTCTGGCAGGCATTCAACTCAGACACAGACAATTTCAAGCTGGCATATGGAGGGCACCAGTATCACGCCAGCTGTGCCAACTTCTGGATCAACTGTGTTGAACCAAAACCTCCTGGTCTTATCCTGCCTGATTTGCTCTGAAAAGCTCCTCTATGAAGCACCAACCAGTTTCTTTTGTTTGTTTTTCGATCACACCCCAGGGGGGGACAGGGACCAATTAACAGAATGCACGTATTACTAAGTTCATCTCTATAAATCTATATAAAGGATTCCCCAAAAGGTAGGGAAAAAAAAATCTGTGGAGGTTCCAGTCATTCCTGCAGACAAACTTTGTCCCCTAGTTTCCACTGCCAGCCTCTGGGATTTGAGATAAAATTGCCCTGCCCAAAATGCATGTGGCACCAGAAGTTTGCCAGCTTATCTCTAGTTCTCATAAGATGTTTTAAAATATGGACCACAATTTTCTTTATCTAAAGAACAATTGCTGCTGCAATATTGAAACTGTGAAGAATTGACCTTTGAAGAAAAGTAAATTATTGTTGTAGGACTGGAATTGGCAGAGCTGCTTCAAGCCAGTGCTTATTTATATCCAGAACACTTACTGTCCTGTGAAGTAGAACGCATTTATCTGCACTTAAGTTTGTTAATATCTGAAATGAATAAAATGGGGAAATGTGATTAAACTGATGCTCTTATCCTTTTATACAAAAATTCTGCTCCTCTCCACTGGACAGTGGCAGGTGGGTGCGGGCAGATTTCTCAACTTTACTGTCAGAACTGAGCCAATTCTCTACTTTCCTTCATTTCTAAAACTGTCAACTCAAGAATACTTTTTCCCAAAACATACCTGGCAGCTTTGCAGTAGATAAGAAAGTTTATTTTACAGAGGCCCAAGTCCCTGTGTATCAGGATGAATATCTTTCCTGTTAGAAGCCCTCACTGAAAACCTTCCGTTTTACCTCACACACAGAGTGAACATGGTACTTTTTTCAGACAAGATTTGGAAAGGCAACTGAGTGAAATATCTTTGCAGTAGTTTCTTTCCAGATCCAAAGATGACTACATAGAGACCAACACTGCCTGTCTCTGCAGTACCTATGAGAGAGACCTGAAAGTTAATTCAGGGTTAGAAGATGGAGTTCCTGGCCTAGTGAGGAGAGTGGAAAGGTGTGTATTTATGGTAGAGGTACATGACTTAGAAGCAGCACTGAATTTTAGAAAGAAAAGGCTCATGCTCTCTGGGTTAGGGAAGTTTCTTTGCTGTTAAAACTAAATGCATAAAATAAAATAAAAATTTTAAGCCAATATGTTAAGGACTTTGTTGGGAAGAACATACCAATGTTAGGAAAACATTTCTCTGAATTGTCAATTATGTACTTTATAAAGAGATTTTGAAACTTGTATGCTTCATTTTGTGTGACATGAGCTTCTGCCCTAGACTTAGTTTTTATTTGTAAGCTGAAAAAGGTGGTTCTATCCATATAATTGCTGCTTTGACATAATTAATTCGTTTTCCCCTCTCTTAGGACAAAACATGAGGGAATACTACTTTGTTCCCTTTCACTTTTTACATCCATCTTTTCCAAGAAAGGTGTAGAACAGTTTCATTAAACGGTTCTTGATGAGGCTCTTGCTTTAGCTTGTGGTGTGCCAGAATGCACAGAGAAGCGCTGATGACATAAATCTGTTCTTATTTGCTGCAGATGACACCATTGCCAGCTATTAATGACTGAGACTGCTGTCTCTGAATTGTCACGTTAGAGCCTTTGCCCTCCACAGGGTTAGTGGGGTGTTAGTGACACCACCACAGGCCAGGTGTCCAGCAGGCTCTCCCTGGGGCCTCTGTGGTCCACTTCATCCTGAGCAGCACTGGTGTTCCATGTGGCACCAGACTTCAAGCAGGTTTCTAATTGGTCTTAAAAATTCCATAATGGAGTCATGATTACAGGATCTGCCACTGCAATGTCTCACAGTTGGACAGAATTCACATTGCTGAAACATCTGTTTGCAAATGCTTTATGGATTGCTCTTCTGTGACAATGGCCTGTATCAGTGACATTTTAAAATATGTGTTCACCTGTTAACCAGGTTGGTTTCCATTCCTAGGTCTATTCCAGAATGCCTCAAATAAAATTCCTAAGTATAATTTCTGCTGACCTGTATGATAGGCTTAGTCACTCCTTGGAAGGTATGAGAGGAATATTCAGCAAACAACAAAAAACAGCCTTTGCTATGAAAAGTATTCACTACTTTTAATATCTGTTTAATAGGGGAAATGTTTTATGAGATGCCACCAATAAGGATTGGGAGTGTGTGGAATACCATTGTGCTGATTTTATTTATTTATATACATTCATTAAAATGACTCAGTGTTGCGTTTAGCTTTACCTCAGCTCTCCTCTTGTTAGCCAAGAGCCCAGTGTCCTTGGAAACAGTAACCAAGGTTACTTATTTCCATACTATGTATTGTGTTAGGCAGCTTCACCCCACTGCCGGAGTGACGATTAAAGGTGGTCTTCTTTTTTGGTATTGTATTTTGCTCTTTAAAATTTTATGGCTTAGTGTGTAATTTAATTTTTGTCTGGACATGTCTGAGATAGAAGAGGTACAGGGTGTATTAGGATATTATCCATGCTTTATTTTTCCTGTGGCTACTAGTTAGCATTCCATATGGGTTGCGTCTTTTAAATCGATTATTTTGTGTAGATGTATTTTGTTTTCTGTTTAAGGATGCTTTCTAATTTCCTTTTAGGTTTAAAAAGATTCTAGGGCCTTTATGTTATAGAAAATTTGAGATGTTTGCTCTGCACTGGGACCAATACAGAAATCCCTCTTACCACCTTCTGCGTCATACGCCTTTCTTTGTGACCAGCTAATAAATGGCTTTGACATCTTCAAAGACATTTGCTATTCAGGAGGGTGTGTATTAGCCTGTTGTTGGCCACTCCAGCAAATGTCCGAATGCAGGGCGAGATGTGTTTGGCCTCAGCCTGTTTTAAGTTACTTAGTATTTCTTTGGAAAAATGTGTACCAAATAGCAATATGGCAAGCCCCCTCCTTACAAAGCCAAGCCCATGAAATGAAGCTTAACTAAAACAGCTTTCTGGTGAAAATGCCACTTTATAAATACTTTCCTAACAAAACACCATTAAAATGAAAGTGTACTTGATTCCATTATATTTTGATGTGATTGTGTGACTTAAAAAAAAAGTATTCATATGTAAGTGACATTATTTTGTAGCTGTGGCTGTATTAACCCATGAATGCCATGAAAATGGGTTGTCTTTTGTGTTGTGCGGTGTGAAAGTTATTCCTATATTTTAAAAGTGGCTTTTTTGTTTGGTTTATATTTTAATAAACAATTTCCCTAAATGACATGTTTAGACATTATAAAGCTTGGTCTCTAAAATATTTTCAGAGTTTGTTCTGAAATAACCACTTGCTAAACTCCACTGGCAGGGAAACAAACGTAGAGGGATGTCACAGCTACTAGACTTCCTCTGTCTTTCCCCTGCTGGGTCATAGATGCACATCACAAGGATGAATAGAGGCCTAAGCATTTAGACTAGAAAGGTGTAAGGCTTCCCAAGTGCTAAAAACACTCTTAGTAACATCCCAATAGTGATGTTTACCAGGACTGCTACAGGAAAATCCCCTTAATTACCAAGAACATCTGTCACTGGGTGGGTTCAAACCACCAGCCTTGGGGTTAGCAGCGGATCGCAAACCACTTGCGCCACGAGACTTAAAACATGCCTTCACACTAAAGGAAGCTTCCTGAATTGGTTTTGATCATGTGCTGATGTAGCATTTGTGGGTTCCTCTGATTTCCCACAGAAACTATTAACTTTAATTTTCCTATTTAGACAACAACAACTATGCTGGTTTATGAAAGTGAGCAAATGGTGTAAAACAAGAAAAGGGAGATTATAGATGGAAAAACATTGCCAGCGACCAGGTAAACAACTAACTCTGGGATATAAATTACATGCAGCCACTGGCATTACATTTATGGCTTCTTGCCATAAAAGAAGACCAAAAAAGTAGAAAATTATTCCATGAATAGGCAGGCTACAACCTAGCTGGCAGATGAAGTAAAATAAAGCAGTGCTGTGGCAGTGGTTCTGCTGTATGGGCAGATTTCCCAGTGGCTCCCCTATCTAAAAGTAAGGGAATGGCCTGGTAAACTCCCAGTGGCTTCCCAGGAGAGTGGAAAGGAAAAGAGCTCCATCATTGCTGACATGATTCAGCTGGGCTGTCTTCTCTTAATTAGCATTCATAATTTGTCGGAGAGCCATATTTTACAATTATTGGAGAGTGTCTTTCTTCCACCATCAACACACACACCCTGAAATTCCAATTATTAAAAATGCTAATATGTTAAGCAGATATATTTATTAAAAATAATGCTAATGTAATCCCGGGACACATTGATTTCAAGAGGGTCTTTGCAGCAGATTTCATTATGATTACTTAACAGCTAAATAACAAAGGTTTGCTTATTTTAACTTACAGAGTCACTAAATAATAGAGGGAAAAGGAGAGAGTAGGGCTACCAATCCAGTAGAGACTGAAGCTGGTATCAGTCTTCCCTAAGCATCTGTTTGGTTGGCAGCCTTAAGCAAAGCTCTGCTCTAAAGAGTTAACTGGGGCCCAAAGTGATGTTTTTTGCACCGAGCTCCTTCAGCACCTACAGTGGTGCCAAAAGGCCTGGGATTCAGGACAGAGCAGAACCTAACAGTTTTATATAAACTGTTCAAATTGTTAAAAATGATTAAAAGCCAGTTGAAGATTTTCATAAACACTATCCAAAATGTTAGTTTTAAAAATGTTACTAGCAATGTATGCATTCCCTTATGTCCCTCCCCTCCCTTCTATCTCGTAAAATAAATTTGAACACCCAGTGTAAAAAACACTCCAGGGAGAACCAAAAGTCAACCATTTGAAAAAGAAAGGTGAAGAGGGGAGCAGACGGCGTATAGCAGATGCTGGTACTGCTCAAGGGGCTGCTGATGCAGGCTTTGGTGGCATTAAATTCCCCAGTAAGGCATCAGGTGTCGGGACTCTTTCTCATAAACGTCTGGAACTATGCCATAAGGTGTCTGTACCATTTTAACTGTCGACTTCCCAAAGAGCTGGCGCTCATAGTCTATCAGCTGCCGCCAGAAGCCCACATTGGGCCTGATGACAGGCCTCCGGGCTTTCACCCAGTTGTACGCCTCCAGCAGGCACACATTGTGGTATTTCATAAGGTAAGCGATGCAGAGAGTAGCCGATCGGCTCACCCCTGCAGCACAGTGCACCAAGGTGGCCCCGTGCTTCCTGCTCACACTGTGGATCTTGTCGGCCACTGTGTCAAAGTACAGTCCAATGGGGGCATGAGGCGTGTCAGCCAGAGGCACTTTAACATATTCAAATTGGGGCCAGTTGAAATTGGGGATCTCAATGGTAGCATTAATGATGCAGGTGATCCCACGAGCTTGGAGGAGTTGCCGGTTGGAGGCCACGCTGCCTCTGCCCAGGAAGAGAGAGGAGGTGATTTGAGCAATGCCTCCTATGTCTCCCTCGGAAATCATCCGAGGGGCCATGAGAGTCCGTGGTAGTGTGCTGTGACCTCTGGAGCTCATGAAGACGCCGGTAATCACACTTGCATCGTTGGAAGCAAGGCGGGAGTGGGTTGGTTTTTCCTTCCGGCAAGGAATCCGAAATTACAGTCTCCTTCCTGCAAAATACAGCTATCTGTCAGTACTTTAAATGCTACTGACTCATCACAGCTTTTTGGAGTGTTTGTGGAATGGGAAGGTGAAAGGATTAGAAATAATTATTTTCTATAATAGTGTGCGTTCTTCCAAGGATGTTGACAAATCATTTCCTATCGATGAACAGGAAGAGCAGCTTCAACGCCAATATGTAAAATCAGTGTAAAACTTAACTCTCTGCTGACTGTAAAAAAAAGCTCTAAGCAGAAACAGTCATCCTATTTTAGGAAAAGGAAAAAACAGAAACATGTCCAACAACAATCTTGCAGACCTCTGTTCTTGTTGAAGGTGTTCCCTGATGATTAGGAAGAAATCAGAAATGCTGATCCTCCCTACAGCCATGTTCTCTCCTACCTTCCTTGCCCACCTCCATAGCTATGATAGCCATTTTTTTACATTTTGGACAAAGGTACAAAAATGATACTGCATTAATGTATTTAATGAACTACCTTTATGGACTAAAAAGATACTGAACTGGATCAATTCCAGAAAAGCCAGGACACATGATCACTGTAGCCCTTTATTATTTAAAAATACCTACTTCCTATCATATCTGTGACATCTGAACACTTTACAAATCCAGTTAGCTTTAGGTAACTTGTGCTGTGGCATTTCCATGGAAATAATCCCAGGCAATTTGAAGGCCCTGGTCTCAACAATCCATTCCTGTAAATTAATGAGCATTTGCAGCTGACCTGACCCTGGGTGTGGTTGAATAAGTCCACCTGTCTCTACCAATTCAAAGAGCCAAGATGAATCCCACTGGCTTCAGATGCTGTGTGTTGGAATTAAAATTGATTTTGTTTAATATCTGAATATATTCTCACCAATACAGTGTTTATAAAAGATACTGTTATACAATATGTCTACATATTAGTAACACAGAAAGGGAAATTACTGGTTTCTGAGATTTTACACACATCAGTTCCTCTCACCACAAAATCAAAATGCTTTATAATCTGTGCCCACTGGGATGTGTGCTTATCTACCCCCTGATGTGACTACAGACAAATGAAAACATCCTCAGCTTCGACAGACAGAAGTGGTACAGGGGATACTCACTTGCTGAGGAAGTTTCAGTGTACTCTGGACCCCGTGGTCTGGATCCAGAAAATCCTCAGTGAGCAGTGCTGGTTATAGTGGATACAAATCAGATCTGCAGGAAGACAAGGATGCAAGAATATGGCCAATCAAAGTTCAAAAGAATCCCTCCTGGTTTTTGTTTTTTTAACTAATAACCAAGTTTGACTGGAATAAATCTTGAAAGTGGAAGGCATGCTAAATATTTCAAGATGTGCATTTAAAGAATGCTTCAATAATAATGCCAAGCTAATTCTCAGCTTTCTGTTAATGACATATAACTATGGTGTGACAAACGCTGGAAGTACAGTTTTGGCAGTAGAAAAGACAAATTTTTGAAAGAAGGCTCAGAGACCGAAACACATCAATGAAATGTAAGGCACTGGAGAACGCTCCAAGAATGCAGTTTTGCCTGTAAGATGCAAAACTGAGTACAGTCTCTTCCATATACCCTTAGTCAGCCCAGCAGTGTGAGGGACCGTGCTAGATACGCAGTGGGCAGAACAGCTAAGCAAGATAAAGTGAGGATAAGCAGCCTCGTGATTACGACACCCAGTAGAGGAGAGTGGGTACCGCGAAAGAAGTCAAAGGTGCTAAGGTGTGGGTGGGATGTCATCTAGACGAGGCCAGAGGGCGGCTTCACCAAGAGCAGTGGTGTAAATATGGCTTGAACGATGAATGCCAACTACAGCCAGCACTGGTGCTCTGGAGAGCAACTGGAAATTTCCTTTCACTTTGTTTTCCATGTATGGCCCTCTTATTTCTTTCATTCATTTATGTAATAATGATGAGCACCCATGAACAACATTTAAAAAGCATGTGTTCCTCTTCTGCCCAGCCCCCTGGCCTTTCCCAGGTAACCATCATACTTAAATTTTTATTTTTTACAGCTCTGTTGAGGTATAACTGACATGTGAACTGATGTACAACTTGATGAGTTTTGACATAAGTATACACTCTAGAAACCATGACCTCAAAGTAATAAACTATCACCCCCAAAAGTTTCCTTATGCCCCTTTATAATCACATCCATCCTTCACCCCCTACCCACATTGCCAAGCAACCACTGACCTGTCACTATAGATTAGTTTGCATTTTCTAGACTTTAATATACAAATAAAACCAAAAAACCAAACCTGTTGCCATCCAGTCAATTCTAACTTATAGGAACCCTAGAGGACAGAGTAGAACTGCCCCATAGGGGTTCCAAGGAACAGCTGGGGGATTCAAACTGCCGACCTTTTGGTTAGCAGCCAAACACTTAACCACTGCGCCACCAGGGCCCCAAATATATACAAGTGGAATCGTATATGTATATACATATATTTTTTTGGTCTGGCTTCTTTCACTCAGCATAATTATCTTGAGATTCACCTGTTACTGGGTGTATCAGTAGTTCATTATTTTTTACTGCTGAGTAGTATTCCACTGTGTAAATATACCGTGGTTTTGTTATCTATTCACCTGTTGATGGACAGCAGGTTGTTTCTAGCTTTAGGCTACTACAAGTAAAGCCGCTCTGAATGTCTGTGTGGACATATGCCTTCAGTTCTCTTGGTTACATACAGAGGAGTGGAAGCACTGGGTCATATGATAGGTTTATGTTTAACATTTTAAATAGTTTTTTTTTTTTTTAAATCTTTAAAGATAGTTACATCATTATAATTCAGCAGCTCTCAAACTTGAGCATGCATCAGAATCGCTTGGAGGGCTTGTTAAAGCACGTATTGCTGGGCCCCACCCCGAGAGTTTCTGATTCTGAGTAGAGGCTTGAGAATTTGCATTTCCCAGGGGAAGGTGATGTTGATAGTCAGGAAATACACTTTGTGAATCCCTGCAGAGGTGGAGGTTGTGGATTCTCTCCTTTAGGACTGAGGCACTCACTCCCCAGCTGCAGGGAGTGCTGGTGGTAACTGACGGATCACAGGTCCCTCCCCAGTACTGGCCTTGCCTGAAGCGAGCTGTCTCCCCCAAGGCTGACCCCTCTTTGGAGGCCCACATGGAATGATAAGTAATCCAGGGGTATGCAGAGGAGTATACAGGTGACATCTCACCATGAAGAAAAATGAGGAAGTAGTCACACAAGGAAATGTGGTGTGTGTGTGCCTGTAGTTTGGTTGTTGCTGGGCTTTTTTGTTTTTGGTGTAAAATGTAAGCAGGCAAAAACGTTTAGGTGAGAAAATCTTGACCTGCAGCAGCACAGTCTCCTGCCACTTCCAAGTCTTTCCCTGGCAGAATCCTAATCGTTTACAAAGCAAGGTCACTGTGGTAACGAACACACAAAACTAGGCCTTCAGACGGCAGTGATGAGTCCCTCCTCAATGTGGAAAATCTGGAAGATGCTAATCAAATTTCCAACTGGGTTATCCAGTTATTGTCTAATTAGGAGGGACTCGGCCTTGTGGTCTCCCAAATAAGCATTCAGCTTGGGAAGCCACTCGCCCTCCCGAGGCAGGGGTGCCCCAGGCTCACTGGCCTTTTCAGCAGAAAGGTCTTCATCAAGGACCAAGGGCATGTAATGGCTGGGCTGAAAGCCTAGCTGATTCTATCAGCGCTCATCTGTTGAGCAGTGACAGGTACTTGGTGCTGCAGGGAAAAGCAAACAGATTGTGAGTCCTCGGGGCAGAATCCAAGTTAGACACGATGCTCTGTCCCTGCTGCTGCTAGTCAGTCTCGTGCCAACAAACCTGCTCAAAATGCCAGAACTCATCCCAAGTTTTAGAAAAACAACTTCTGCCAGAGAGCACTCAGAGGGCACAGATACTGTAGATGCTCCTCTGACAAACACCCCTGGCCCCTTTTACAAATGGGAAAAAAACAAGATTCAGAAAAGGTGAGATGAATGCAATGTGGAGAAGACAAGCAACAGAATGAGGAAAAGATCTGAGGTGTCCCGACTTCTTGCTCAAGACTGCACGCTGCTTCTCTGTGGGGCTAGATGGCTGTGTTCTCACCGTCTGCCTTACAGAACTCTACCACCACCAGCCAGCACCTTCAGTGCATGAAAAGGGTCTTGGATTGGCCTAAGAAGAACTTGTTTAAATGCTTATAAACAGACTGGGCCCAGATGGGCTGAGCCAGCTGCTCCACTTTCCTGACTGCCCAGAATAGGGAAATATTGCCACAGACTAGTACAACTATTCAGTACAAAACCACCCTCTTGACAGCAGAGGGACCTCAGCAGGACTAGTCCCAGATTAGTACAACAAGAAGCCCTAGTGTGGGCCATTTCTAAGGTTAGCGTAACTCAATCATAAAGAATAAAAGAAAACATAGGTGTGTCAGATTCAATTTGTGTGCTGGACAACAGAGAAAGAAGACCTATTAGGAGAGAATCAGGACTGCATGTTCTCTCTGAGTGAACACCCCATTCCCACATGGCACACTGGTCGCTGGAACAAGGGTGGCCAGGAAGAACGCTGAGGAATGTCCATGTCGCTGTCCATGGTGTTCAACTAAGCCCTCCCAAGTTCCTCTGGCAGCTACATTTACATATTTGAGGGAAAAAAATGCTTTCCTGGCCAGGGAGATGGTGATAAGTTGAGTGAAAGACAGAATGGAGGAGCTGTCCTATGCCAACCCCAGAGACATTTTCTTTTACAAATTATAGGAAATGTCTCATCAGAGATAATGCTGGTCTCTTTTAATAATAAGCATCAAAGCAACTAAACAAAATGCAGAATTAGTGTCTGCCCAGTGGGCCTGTAATCTCAATAGTGCATAAGCTAATAATAACCACTGATTGCTCCCTGCATAGGAGAGCCCCTGGAACGTGCACAGCCTCTTGGTTAGCACTGGCGTCCATATCTACAGAGACTACATCTCCGTACCTGAAGCAGTGAGCAAGGAGCCATGGCCTATTCGGGGCAACCGTCCTAGTGCCGTGGGGGCTACTTTTCTTTTGTTTTTTAATCATGACAAATAACCACTAGAATCGGCAGTTAAAGGACTGAAATTCCATCTACTGTTTTTTCTCCTCATGGTGAATAAGCAGAAATGGCCGCAATGGTGCTTGGGATGACTGTGTAAAAGGATCTGACTAAAATATTTTTAGTACATACTGGAGGCCTACAATATTATTTGTTTGTACTTGAAAAATCTATGTAGTCACATTTTTCTCTTCCTTTAAAGTAAATGTCTATCTAGTTCTTTTCAAAAAGCTTGAAATCACCCTTTTTAAACAGAAGAGAAGCATCTCAGTCTAGACTGCCATAAAGTAAACAGATACCACTTGTCATTAATTTTCACTATTAAATCAGATACATGTTTCATTGAGGAAGAAGTTAAAATACTTACCTCTAGCAAATAAAAATAAAATCACAGTGGGGCAATATTTCACTGAGGAAAAATAACTTTCTGATAGAAGATTAAGAATGTAATTCAATATTTATTGAGTTATATTCATATTAAGGTAAAATGATGTAAGAGATACTGAATTCACAAATTGTTCTCAGTCATCTGGAAAGCTTTAGCAACTTGCCTAAAACACCTCAATATCTTACATCTGGAGGAGGGGCTACTTTTGCTTTTCCCACCATATAAATTAACTGGTATGATAGGAGTCCAGGGATGATGTACACAAAGCTAAAGAGTGAAAATCATTATTCTGGTTCAACAACAGACATTTCCCCCATGTGACATGCAGCTGTAGAGCAGACTGCCTGTGTAGTTGTGACCAGGATGACCACTTGGATGTCCTCATTTGGACCACCAGCCCATTAACACAGCACTCACTGAGTCTAGAAAAGGGCCAATCATTGTCAGACACTAGCCACCTGTTACATATTGAATATGCCACCGCCCAGAGAAGGAGCTGGGCAGACCACTTGATGAAAGCAGAAGAAAAAAAAACCACGCCAAATAGTGACATAAGATGCACAGAATTTACGAAGTTTAGTTCCATATTATAAAGTCATAGATTCTCCATGGTGTAAACAGAACACACAGAGTAGGAAGAAGAGACTATCAAAAACTGTAAAAGGTAAAGGGAACTTATCTGGGCTTCATGGGGTAATCTGTACACATCTGGAACTGAATTCTTCAGTTTGATCCCCACCTCCCTCAGCAACTAAATTACTTATCACTCATTTATACAACAGTATTTACTGAGTTCATGCCATGTGTTCAACGCTATGCTAAGCGTTGTTGGGGACTGTAACAGAGTAGTATTTTCCAAAGATGGAAATATCATCTCCCATCCCACATGCTCTTCTTACAATGTGACCTTGATAATCCTCCCATCAAATGGTGGGGTCTATGACCCCTCTCCTTGAACCTGGAAAAACCTTTGTGACTGCCTCATCCTAAAGAGTACAGTAGGAATGACATGAGTCTAGATTATAAAAGTGTCACACTTCTACCTTGTTCTCTTGGGACGCTATCTCTTGGAACCCAGCTACCATGCTGTGAGGAAGCCCAATTAGCTCAGTGGGGTGACCACATGGAAAGGCCACATGTACGTGTTCTAGCCAACAGCCCAACTGAGGTCCCAGCTGACTGCTAGCATCAACCACTAGCTATGTCAGTGAAGACACTTCAAGATGATTCCACTCTCAATCCTCAAGTCACCCCCAGGTTTTGACTCTCCCAGCTGAGGCCCTAGACATTATGGAGCAAAGACAAGTTATCCCCACTATGCCAGGTCCAAATTCCTTACCCACAGATCTGTGAGCATGATAAAAATGG